TATCCACATCAACGCCCAGCCCTACCTCCAGAAGGGTGACGGTCCCATCGTCTTGATCCTAGCACTACTAGGGAGTTGGCCCTTCAGATCAAGGCCGAGTGTGATAGGTTCGGGAGAAGCTCCAGAATCACCAACACGTGCGTGTACGGTGGCACTCAACGTGGGCCCCAGGCTAGGGCCCTCCAGAATGGTGTTGAGATCTGTATCGCCACGCCTGGCCGTCTCATTGACTTCCTGGAGTCCGGCACTACCAATCTCAAGCGTGTGACCTACCTGGTCATGGATGAGGCTGATCGTATGCTCGATATGGGATTCGAGCCGCAGGTGAGCTCGAACTCGCCGCTACGAACTGCCATCAACTATATATGGTCTCAGGTTCGCAAGATCGTCTCCCAGATCCGTCCGGATCGTCAGACCCTCATGTGGTCGGCCACGTGGCCTAAGGAGGTGCAGCATCTGGCGAGAGACATCTGTAACGAGGAGCCCGTCCTGGTCACTGTCGGTCGCTCTGGTCATGCTTGCCATAAGTAATTTCGGGGGAGATTTCTCGACTGTATAGACTGTTGGTTATTCTCAGTATCCAGCAGTACGTTGAGGTCGTTGAGAACAATGTGAAGCCGGAGCGTTTGCTGGCCCTCATGCAAGCGGCCTCAGCTGCTACCGGTGGTGGCTGGACTGCCAAGACCCTCATCTTCTGCGACACTAAGCGTGGCGCCGATGATATCACTCGTCTCCTCCGTCGTGATGGGTGGCCTGCTCTGTCCATCCATGGTGACAAGAAGCAGAGTGAGCGCGACTGGGTCCTGAACCAGTTCAAGACCGGCAGGTCTGCGATCATGATTGCCACTGATGTTGCCAGCAGAGGTCTTGATGTGAAGGACGTGAAGTATGTCATCAACTATGATTTCCCCGGCACCATTGAGGACTATGTTCATCGTATCGGACGTGAGTCGACCCGAGTTGGTCCTATGTTGTGCATGGTATGGTCTTAGGTACTGGTCGTGCTGGAGCTAGCGGCGTTGCTTACTCGTTCTTCTCGCCTGACAAGGGCAAGTTGGCCCGCCAACTCGTCAACTGCCTGCGTGAGGCCAATCAGTCGGTGCCCGAGGCTCTGGAAACGATCGCGTTCGCTAACGACCGCTCTAACAGCGGTGGTAAGGGTCGCGGTAAGGGCAACTACGGTGGAAAGGGCCGTGGGTTTTATGGAAAGGGCAAGGGACGTTTTGGCAAGGGCCGTGGTAAGGGTAAGGGCATGAACTTCTCTATTACTGGAGCCAACTCGGTAGGTGTTTTCGGTTGTGGTCCGGTTGTGACTTGTTTGTCATTGGCTTCAGATCCCTGTCGGAAACGCGGGTCCGAGCAAGGGTAACGGTCCGAGATATCAAGGTTTTGATAACGCTGGGATGCATTAATAGGGCACCTCATTGAGCTCCTCCTTTCGGTGTCTTCATCATCATGGCTGAGTGGCCGCTGAGTCTGATGGTTACTACCGTCTGAAGTGAGGAACTCCTACTTTGTCCGACTATTTCGGTAGAACTGCTGTATATA